ATCTCCCCAAAACCCCAAAACCCCAAAACCCCTTTCACCCATTTTGCATTGAAAGTTTATAACATCACTAAAAATGGCTAAGCTTTGATTTTCCATAATGTTTAATGAATAATATTTACTTTCGAGATAGCTTTAAATAGCAAACTCATGACTTTTCATACACAGCAATAAGAACAATACCAGGTTGCAGGTTTTCATACAATTTTGTAATTAATATGATACTAAAAATTTGATTTCTTTACAAAGATTGCTAAGTTAGAGGCTGGATTATATTCTATTGCAGTTTCTTTGGTGAAAAGATTTCCCTATACTGATATAAGCTAAGCCTAATCATTAATTCTGGCTGATAAAAAGCAATCAAGAAGTGGTGGAAGGTGGACTAACACAAGAAAATGAATGCGTTGCTTTAGGTTCTAACCATTGCTAAAATAGTATTTTCTCTACGATTTTACTAATAGCCAATGTGCTATACCTGAGAAATTTTCTTGAGGAAGTAAAGCAAGAGAGCTTTTATTGAATTATCTTCCTCCCAACTGTTCTAAATATATGAGCCACTCTGCTAATGAAGCTAAAAGCTTATACAGACCTGACCCTTGGAAACACTATTAAAGAAGCATCTAGAACATTTAGAATTATCTCAACCAACAATTGAAAAAGCATCAATTTCTTAATACAAAATGAACCCGAACAGTAGGGGTCAAACTTGTTTATCTGTTATTTGCTTATGCTTTCTTTGATTCTTTCATATCTTTTCTAATCTCCTTCCAAAGATCCTTGACCTCTACTGTATATTTTTTAACAGTCCTCCCAAGCGCACTGAACCCCCTCTCAGTATACTCAACCGTCTTGCCCACAAACCCTGATCTTTCCCTCACATCCTTATTTCAAACTTATATAAGTATCAGTCAGAGTTTTCTCTCTGTGCTTCTCACAGAGAGGGCAGTTTTCATCTGCAAGACAGAGTGCAGGGATAAGGATTGTAACCAGCAATGTCAGCGCTAATATTGTTTTGATAGCCATGATTAATTATTATAAGAAATTTTTAATTTTTATTATATCATTTTCACCCATCTTCCAGAAACCTTAGAGGAACTTTAGAATATAGAAGCTTCTCACGAACCAGTTCAGGCTTATTATCGGCTTTGATGGAGTCGGTGTTTTGTATTGTGACGTAATTTCTATAGTAATCATCTTTGAGTAATGCTAGTTCTTCATTAATAACTTATGATGGCTCTTGAAATATCTGTTTTTTAGGTGATGGTCCCTATTTTCAATGAATATTGAGTATTCGGGGTTTTGGGGTTTTGGGGTTTTGGGG